AGCACCTTGTGCCCTCCCGCGAACCCCCTCTGCCCACCCGAACCCTTTTCTGTCTACTTGGTCTGAAGAACTTTGGACTTTGATCAGTGGGGTTGAGGCTGACAGTATATAGTTGACCAAAAAGTCTTTTGTGCACCATTGTTTCACCTGTGAAGCTTCCCTTATCTCAGAATAAATTTCCTCCATGCCTTCTTCATTTTCTGGCATTGAAAGGGGTTGATGGTGGGTTCTGTCTGTGGTTGCTGATTTGCTGTGTGCCAACAAGCCATGGAGCATGGCTGGCTGGTCGTTTCCAGACGGTGTTTCTGCACACCTAGATTCTATCAAGCCTCATCAGTAAGGATTTAAATAGGAGTTGCTGCAAGTCCTTTGACACCTGAAATTTAGCCTTAAGTGGTAACTCCAAGCCCTATGAAGAGGTTGGATTGCAATTTTTGTCGGATTAAGTGAATGAATTAGCCAAAAGGCGCTACAGCTCTCCTTAACATGACATTTCCTCATGCCCTATTCTTGAAAAACCAACAAGGTTTTAGACCAGGAATAAAAAACCTGAGAAACTGATTATTGAATAAAGAGCGGTTGACACTGGTGAACAGAATTTAGTTGATAACATGGAACAGCACAGGAAGGAACTGTGGGGAGTGAGGTTGAGGAACATTCAGAAGAGGAACACAGGAAGCTAAGAACTAGACTAAAACACAGGACACTAAGGCACAGGGAAACAAAACACATCAGAAACAAAACCAAAACCCAAGATCAAAGTCCAAAACCCTTAACAAAATCCCAGCTCATGAGAACTGTAACTGAAGTGGTTACCTGTAGCAAAACATTGTTGTCACTCTCATCCTTTCCCCATTGTTCCCATCCCACAAAAGACCCTTGCTGACATTAAAAAGGCATTCACACTACTCTCAAGTGCTTAGATTGGCCATCACACAATTGTCTATAGAGGGCATCTGGCCTCTCCCACCCTCACTATGCTTCTTTCAGACTTTTCTTTTCTCTCCCTTTTGCATTTTGGTAAGTTGATTAAATAGACTTGTGTTACCATCCCAACGCTTGCACCCTGTGAGCTTTTAATGGAGATCTTGGTTTTTAACCATCAACACACATATACTAACCTGAACAGTACTTCTTTGTACATCCATTATCTGTGAACATTAGCCATAGAAAACTGGAACTTGTTCATGCAATTCCAATATTTCTTGGCTCACTTTCACCTATTTTGACAGCACATTTTTTTACACATCATGATGCAATGCCACTCATCCACAAAAAAAAGCTGATGAGGCGAGTATCAGACACATCATGAGATGAGGCAAGAATATTTCTAATATAAATTTCTAATATAAATAAAATTTCTAATATGAAATATATACATTTCTAATATAAAAGCTTAGTAATTATTAGCTCAAGAAAAGCATTGATTAATAATTAACTAAAGTGTAACTAATAGTTCTAGTAATTATCTTCCACTTCTATTTTTTTACTGAAACAAAAAAAAACATACACATATATATTTGATAAATGATAAATCTTTATACAATATTCATTATTCTGTACATTTGGCGTAACTAGACTTCTGCTCCAACAAAAAAAATATTTTTATAAGTCCTGAGAGGTATTGCAGACATGTAAACCTTGGACATTTTCAAGGCTAAATAAAATTCCAAACCACAATAGGTGGTATCTTATGGGTTGCTGTTACTGCCAGAAGGCAGGTGGTTTGGCATAGCATTGACAGGGGCATTAGAAACCAATAACTGCATGTGCTTACACACAACCTTCCTCTGCCAAGTTAAACTTACATATGTGAATGAGCTCACGTTGTTTGTCCATGAAAATCCCTTATAAATCTTATTCTTCCCATCAGGTTCTGACTGTCTGTCGCCACAGCTCAGTTCCAGGAATGCTCATTTGGTCTCTTTTTTTTCTCCCGGATTTGACTTTTGCTAAGAGCTCTTGTTCATTCATATGAACTTTAGAAAGTTTTGTCTTTCTGTTCAACACAATTTTACTATTAAGTATGTTGAGCGAATGTTAGGGACTGTATCAAAGACTGGGTGGATAATTTTTTGATAAATACATAGTCCTGAGCACTGAAACTTCCTCCCACTGTCCAAACACAAGAATGTTATATTGAACACTCTAAATTGCACCTATGAGTGAATGTCATTGTGAGTGGTTGTTAGTCTCTGTGTCCCTGTGACGGACAGGCGACCAGTCCAGGGTGTACCCTGTCTCTCACCTAGTGTTATATTGTTATATTGACAGAGAGCAATAATTTGCATTGTCAGGCATTCTTAAATTTGATTTCTTTGATTTCTAGCATATTTGAGTACGGCACACTAAGGTAGTTGACTATGACTATGTGTATGTATATATATATATATATATATATACATATACCGTATATATATAGTCAACTACCTTACCTATTCTTTATTATTAAAGAACTTACTCCATCACACTTTCATAACCTTTATTCACTTCTGCAGTTTTCTAGGTTGAGAATTTTGCCTGCTAGTCTATTTGCACAACTCTTGTGTGACCCCAGTCCAGTTACCCTCGAGACAACAAAGCATACCCTGAAGACAGCATGGGGAAGAAAACCGAGAAGAGCAACCCACTGAGAGACCCTGTTTCAAAACATCTTCTTCTCCTTACCCCCTCATACCCCCAGCCCTCCCACCCACATCAAGGCTCTGTCATTTAATCCCACTCAGTTTGTGTCTGTAATTACAGCTACCTACTATTTAGCATGCCCCGAAAAAATGCCGTCCCTCAGGGTCCGCAACCGTGCAACGAGTCGCTCAGTAAATTTGATTTCTCACCTAATTTACTTTTCATAAACTCCATATCATATTCAATGTTACATTTAAACAGTTCCAGTGGTTGCCAGGAGAGTGTATGCCTTGGGAAAGTTAGAGGAACTGTTCTGGAAAAATTGCATTGTTGAATGACAGGTGAAATTGACCATAGGAAAGAAGGGAAAAAGCTCAAACCCTAAGGCCTAGAACAGAGAAAACTTCTGCAGAAGCATCCTGTTTTTTCTTTCTTTTTTAAATTTATTTTGGCAAAGAAGAAAGTGTTGACGATATAAAGTGAAAGTCTTCCTGTATTATTGTTTTTTTTAGCTTTCTCAAGTCTCAACAGAATTTAACAATTTGATTTTCCTCTTCGCTGTCTCCACTTTAGATTCAGAGCTTCTTATTTCACTCTCTGCATGTCTCACCACTTATCAACTTATTTATTTTCATTCGCTCTGTTATTTTTTTTGGTCCTTTTTCTGCTGGTAAGCACTTACCAGGTCACATTACAAAAGCAGCACTGTCAATTTTAGTTGTTTGACATTTTTTTAACTCTTCACCCACCACATTTTCATAGATTTCCTGTGTCCAGTAGCAGCAGCCCAGAGCTCCTCAAGAAGTGGAAGGTTTATATTCTAAACAATTCTATTATATTAAGGTGCAAAATCCTCCTAAATGCATGTGCACAATGTCTTATTTTGTTCAAACTAAAGAAAGACTAAATGAGGCTTGTGTCATTCCGAGACCTGTTAAAATCGGCTTGTAGTTATTTCCTTTTAGACTTGTATTTTCACTGAGTTCTATTCTCTTTGATAAGTTGGTGCCAGGCACCAATTCCTGTCGTAAATCTGTCAGCTAGGTATGCTGTATTAGGTACATGCCCACTAAAATGCTCATTCACTTTTTGTAACACATTCATTGTGATCTCGCAAACAGGATGTTGGAGTATAACTGGCCAATGAAACTCGGTTGCAAAACCCAAGCCTATTGTATGGGGCGTCGCCAGCCCGAGAAGATATCTGTGAGTCCAATGCAGGAATGGACGCTCTTTGTGTCTGAAAGACCTTGAACGATGTTAAATCCACCGGCTGATGAGGTTCCAAATTTCTCATTTTTCATTTTTCCTCAAGTGGCAAAGTAATGAATTAAGAAAGCTGCCCAAAACTACACATTTCTTGACTCTTGACGTATGTCATTCCAATATTTTAACAATACATTTCTAGGTTCTTGGAGAGAAATTAGGCTACTGGGCTTGTCAGCATTCTTTGGCAAAGTACTTAGATTATGAATAAATATTGAAGACAAAATTGCCTTGGTAACTTAAAAGGTCTTTATGGAATATTAATATTTTTGCTAAAATATTTTTATAGATTATTACTCTATAAAACCTATTCTTTTCCATTTATATTTAACCAACATGGTGCTCCACAGCGACATCTGGTGGGGCCAGGTCCCACTAACCCCAAATCAGAATCACCACAGTTTATTTGTGGCTGAAAGACTTTAAGATGTGGTTTGGAATAACAAAAGTTCTGCTGTACATCAAAGTATTCCATCTATTGGTTATAATTCATTCTACACTAATAGACAAACTTCTACACTAATACACAAACTTAAAAACTTTGCACTGGCTCCCAATTGGATTAAATGTTTGTCTTAAAAACAGACTGATCAATGTTAATCCTTATATTGTTTATGCCATAGGATTTATCTTGGCTGCTGTGAAGAGTTGGGTGACTAAGACCCAGTCTGTAAAGTGAGAATTTGGATGGAATGCACAGTTTTTCAGATTCATCTCACTTTTACCTGTCAAGATGTATAGTTTTGATTTCTTTTATCTTGGAGAAATATGCAAAATATTGTTTGTACTGTGACCAGAACATTTGATGTCTTGTTAATGGAGCTGGACACTTCTTCCAATTCCCCTCCCCCTCTGTCTCCCAACCTGAAATCTTGTCTTGCCTTCCTGGCTGCCTGCCTGTCTGTCTGACTTTTGGGCTCCCCGCTCAGTTGTCTTTTTATCTGCTGATATTTAACACTCCAGCTTGGGTAAAAACTCCTCTTTAAAGAGGAGGTGTATAGTCACTCTGCCGACTTGTATGGGGGAGATAACACCAGAGGATTTATGTGTTTGGTAATAAAGTTTAGAAGTGGAGCCTTGTTTCAAAAGCCTCAGCTAGACATATTTACTTTGGTTGTGCGGTGACACAATCCTTGGAGCTTTCTTTATTCTGTTATGTAGCTGAACACATATGAAAATAATAAAAATAACAATACTTTTTAAAGAAATTATATATATATATTGGCATTTTTATGATTATGGCTGACATATGATAATATCTTTATGTTTTATTATATATATATATATGTACATATTGGTATTTTGATGTTTATGGCTGACAGGTACCCAAAATTTAGTGTCACACAAAGTTAAAATATCACATGAGACCAATCAAAACCAGATTTTTTAGGCTCAAATGTCAGGCCTCTGAAAAGTGAATATATCTATACTCAGTTTGTCCTCTTGGCATCTTACTCATCAATGCGCCATGGCATAGAGACGATCAGCCTGTGGCCCTCCTTAAAGATGTCTTTAATCTTCCTGTTGACAACAGCCTTCACATTTTCTGTGTGGTTCATGTCAATGGAGTTTGACAGCCAATCAAGAATAGGCCAATCAAGCGAGCTTAAACAAGCTTTTGGTATCTTTGGCAGAGTGTGCAGGTGCCAAGTTCTGCTGGAAAATAAAATCAGCATCACATACAGCTTGTCAGCAGTGAGAAGAATGTAGATGGCTGCATTGACTGTGGGCCTAAAAATAAACAGTGGACCAGCACCAGCAGGTGAAAAACCACCCCACACCATAACTAACTGAATGAATGAATCTTTATTGTCATTGTCACAAGAACAACGAAATTTAAAAAGTGCCATAAATCAGTGCATTTGCTAAAAAAACAGTTGACTTGCAAAGTGGATTCTGTGCCTTTCCATTATTCTTTCAGACCATGGGATCTTGATTTCCAAATTGATTTCAAAATGTACAGTATTTTCATTTGAAATCAAGACTTGGAACCATTGAGTGACAGTCCAATTCATTTTCTTAGGTAAGATGACTTGGTTATCTCTGGTTCAGGAGTCTTGACAGGGGCAATGTGACATTTGTAGCCCACGTACAGTAATCATTTGTGTGTGGTGGCTTTTGATGCACTGACTCCAGCCTCAGTTTGTGAAACTCTGCGAAAATCTTGAATAATTTCAATTGACAATCCTTTTCCCACAACACCCAGACTAACACTCAGGAGTTTTGATTTAATTATGTGATTGCAGTGTGACCGCAAGTTTCCAATAATGGCCCTTTTCAAAGTATTCCAATTTTTGGAAACACAAAGTTTTGAGTTTTCTTTACTTGCAAGCTGTAGTCTTATAAATGACCAGAAACTATGGCTTTAAACATATCACTCTATGTGTCTTGATTCTATATCGTGTATGGGTTTCATTTTCTGAGATGACTAGCAAAAAAAATGTTGCCCACAAATGCAGTATTCTAATTTTAGATGTGCCAGTAAGTGTGCTTAGCAGCCTTGGTTCATTTTACAACCAGAACACCCCTGAGTGAATATTAATTAAGTGTGTCATGTGAGGGGGTTTCAATTTAGTAAGAAATGTGCACCTTTTTTTTTTCTCTCGGAAGAGGGAGGGGGTAAAGGATTTTGCTCACAGCTCTTGAAGCGTTGAAGAACACTCCAACATGCCATGCTTTACTCACAACCTCAGCGCCACTCAGGCTTAGTGACAATGTGGTGCACTCATTACCCCAGGTCTTTCAAGTACTCCAAGTGAGAGGGACACGACCTCAGTTGTATTCATTGAATAATGATGTTGCAGTGTGGTGCAAATGGTTGACATGCTTCTTGGTTTGACTGAAATTGATTTATTTGAGTTGCAAAAAAAAGACTAGAAAAAAAAAGCTGCCCTGAATTAAAATTTTCCATTTATTGTCATATTTCAGTTAAAGGAGTCCCTTTTGTTGTTTTTTTTGTTTTGTTTTTTCAGTTAAAGAATATTTGGCTTCATAATTTCCCTCTTCTCTAGAGCTGCATACCAACATCTGTCTGCTGGCAGCAACTGAATTCCACTGAGGAAATATTTTTATCTCAGAAATACATTCTCATCTCAAAACATTAATCTAGCACAAGATTCATTTTCACTTATTTTGTCAAGCACGCTGTTCATAACTCCATCTTTGTCAGCCTGCAGTGCTCCAGCTAGAGGATAATTGTCTAAGTGCTTCTGGATGGCAAAGTACTATTTGGTCATTACGGGGCCCATTAAGTCTTTACTTTAACAGCGGAGCTGCCCTCCACCTGCCAACAGGGCTAGTTGATCAGCCTGGTACATGTTGGCGTGATGTTTTTCACATATTTGTGCAGGTAGTCATAGTTAAGATGTAAAAGATATTTTTTCCGCACACGTGTTAATGTTGGTATTGTGATAATAAAAATAATAAAGAGAAAATATGTGTCTTTTTTTTTCAAGACCAACAAAAACCTCTGCGGTTGCTTTCCAAACACTATGTGTTTTTCAAGGTATGTTTTCATACACATATTGGAGAAACTGAATGCTGTCAAGTTGCACATTTTTCTTGCCATGAATGCAAATGTCGCTGTGATTTCTGCCATATTGGGATGCCTGAAAGAGTCCAGATGTGACCAGAGTTTGTGTGAGTCTGCTGTCAATGCAAAAATCCTCAGGCTGATATCCACTCACAAATCTATAAGCAGTCCTTTAACGCTTTGCGATAATTCAAACTCATAAGGGCATCTTGTGAACGAGTGTCACTGCAAAAAACAGACAAAACAACCATATTCTCTTGAAAAACACTTAAATGTGTACCAGTAGATACACCCCTCTCAAAAAATTCCTCTCAAAGCCACACTTTCAAACAATATTCTTCAAATTGACCAACACTTGAGAAAGCAATAATGCTCTTACTCTTGTTAATCTTTGAGTTTGTCTTGTGTGGAGGTGATAATTGTGTTTTATGATTCGCTCAAATGGCCTGTACAGCGCTTTGATTTTAGCTTTGGCTGACTGAAAGCGCTTTATAAATAAAGTTGAGTTGAGTTGAGTTGAGGAACTAAAGTGAATTATTTTGATTTTGTAATCATCATCAACTGATATTTTTTTGCTCTAAATACTACACGAGGCCACGTGTTCTTGAAATGTTGGTAACAGCCCTAATTAACATTTGAGCGTATTGCCCATGGACTCATTTTTGTAGGGGGGACAGTCCTTCTGTGGTAGAGATTGCACAGACACTGTCCAGACTGAAATAACACATCAGACTGTCTGTGAAGCTGTAAATGGTGCGCATTCTAAATGAGAGCAGGATGCCTTTCTGCTAAGAGGAAACCTGATTCTACCACCCACCACTCTCCCTTCATCCCATCCCCTTTTCCACTCCTGAGGTGATTAGAAGGGTCTAGTGACTGTCAGTCACTTCTCTATGTGTGTTTGCATAATTCACAGTGCGAAGAAGCACCAGCTGATAAAAACACTGTCAAGCTAAGTACTTTACTTCAATAGTAGACCGAGCAATGTCTGCTTTGCTCACCAGTGCCCAGACTTGACCCCAGTAGACTGCAGGTCTCCTCACTGCTCTGCTGATTGTGGCGCCATTACCACCCCCTTACACTGACCCATGACCCCTGTCCTGGAGAAAGGCACCTCCAATATGATCTAATTTCTCCATGACATAGGCCAGCAGCCTGGGTTGTAATGTGACCTGGGTAAATATGGGTGTTCACTTGAAGAGAATGAGAGAGGTCCACACAGATAGGACTTACCAAAAAGCAACAGTAACCAACAAAAGCTATTACCAACTTTGAAATGTGCATCACCAATAAACAGACGTGGTAATGGAATTGCTTTTTTGAAGTAAAAAAAATTACATGTATGTTTTAATTGGTGATACAGCTTACACTCTGTGAACTGGTTAGCTTTTTTCCAGACTTTTCCAATCTATAGTCAAAGTATTTTGTATAAACTAACCTCCAGGCAGTCAAACTACATCAGCATTCAAAGACCTGGAGAGGAACCATACACCATGACCCAACCTAGTTTATACGCATGGCTTTAATGAATATATCGACACCTCTCTGGAAACATCATAGAGGTTTATCCAACCGACAGGGCTCTCATTTGACCATAATATTCCTTAGAGGTCTGAGGAACACTGAATGTCTCTAAATTTGTCCCAAACTACAGAGGATTACACCTTGAAAACATATGCTCTGCCTATCTCTGCTGCATGAGATTGGATTGGATGATATTTTTGCTGTTTCTTTATTTCTTGAAGAGACTTGCACTGATGTAATGTGTCTCGTAATTTGTCTTAATACTGATGTGTCTTTTACTGTCATAATTTCAGTTATTACAATGCACATTTTATTTATCATTGGAACATTAAGTGTCAACATTCTCAGAAAGGAACTATTGTGCCGCAAGTTAGTTTCACTGGTGCACATGAGATCAATGCACGCCCATGGTGAAGCATGAGCACTGCAAGTTGCCAAAGTAAGGGCCAGTTTAAGTAAAAAAGGTTAAAGAGCGCTTAATATGGCTGTAAAGTGCTTATTTCTACCTCTAAGAAAGGGACCGGCAAAGAGAGGTATGTTTTGAATGTTATATCTAACTTTGTCTTTATTTTTAGCGTCTTTACCATTTAATTTAATTGTATGTTGAATCTTGTATTGTTATGACCAAGGGAGTGACAAACCAACCGCAAGATTACACAACCCACATTAAAGCCGACTTCATGCCATCACTACTAAGAACACTTTATGTCAAGCAGAGGTGAAAGTGCCTGTTGAACTTGGATCTGCATAATTCCTGGCCTCCTGGTGGCAATATCACCTAATTGCACCAAGGACCCTGTAAATGGACACTAAGGTTGACCAGCTGTGTCTATATGAAGATGTCCAGAAGCCAGAAGGTAAAGTGCATGTTTGACAGAGGAGCAATATGGAGCTGTGTGAAGCCTGACGACGACGGCACCATAAGGTAACCAGAAGTGAACTCATCTGATGGAGTTCACAATTAATTTCTCATGTCCATTTAACTTACAAGGAGTACTTGAACAAGTCCATAACATTATAAGAAAAACTAATTGTAAGAAAGAAATCAAAACAGAAAGGGAAAGCTGTCAGTGCAGAACAAGCTGCAGAAAAAAGCAAGTGGATGAAAGCTGTTTAGTTCAAACTGTGCAAATAAAGTAGCATAGAAGTGGAAGGCCTCACATGCTCAAAGGGAAAAGAATTCCATAGAAAAGGTTACAAGGGCACAAATATGTATACACAGCATTTCATTGCTTAAACTTTATAAGCATCTTTTCAGGCTTAATAGAGAATGAACATTAATATGGTAGAAAAGATATGTTGGCTGCTGTGGTAAAGGAGTATATGATGGCTATTTTCTTTTGGGTGTGAAAATTCATGTGAGGCAACATGGAATACAATCATTGTCATTACTCAGCCCCTGTTTTTATTTTTATTTTAGACGCCAACCTGCAATGGGGACCAATGAGAATCTGAATGTTCTCAAAGCAGCTATCAAAGACTTACTGCTAAGCTACCGGACAGGTTAAGTAACAGATGGAATTGAAAGGCTACACAGTACCTGTAGGAGCACAAATAGTTCTCACGTTTCAGCTACTTTGTAACGTTTGCCTCAATTGAGGCAAGTATTGCTACATCATACTAAGTTATAATACAAGATGACGAACCAAAGTCAAATCCAAAGTCAAATAAAGGAGCAAGACGCCACTTAGACAAGTGTCTGAAACTGACTGAGAAACCAGTTACAGAGAGAGTCAAGTTCATTCAAATTGACAAACTATGTCTTAGCTGTAAAAAGTGGCTATCTCCCCAGTAAATGGATTATAGGCAACCCATGATCAAAACCGCATGCCTTTTTGCCTGCAGGAGGAAAGATAAGAGACATAGAAAGACCATCTTAAAGAACAATAAGAATGTGAACAGTAGGACACCCAGCAACAGGTAACACTGGCACAAGAAACAGTGAATGAGCGTATGTATAATAAAGCGACTCAGTTGTACCTGTTTATGTGTCTACTCTGCAAATAAGAGGACCGTTTTCCAAGAAGAAACTCACTATTCCAGTTACTCACACACGTGACTGTATACTTGCTGATCGCAATCCAACTCCAGACATTGCAGGGACATGGCCACATTTGGAGCATCTCCCTGAAGATATCGCTCTACCATGGGACTGTGAAATAGGACTCCTGCTACTGTACAACTGCACACAAGCCTTAATCCCCAGAGAAGTCGTATGTGGTGAAGAAAAACCAACCATACGCCAAGAAAATAAATTTTGGCTGGAGCATCGTGAGTTGCTCTGATTCGTGAGATTCATTGATAGATGTGAGTAGAGGAAGTCTGAGAAAGAGGCTTTTAAGAAACTGGAGAAAAGCCTTGATCTTCAAGAACATCTCTGGAAAGCCTACTAACCCAGAGCTAAAAACAATACATGTGCTAAACACCAAAGTACATGAACAGAGAACAATACTAGACCATCTCCCTAAATTCTCAGCCTGGAACTGTTCGAGCTGTTGCCCATCTAAGGAAATTTCCACACAAACTAAAGGCGAAAACACAAGTGTTGAGGACGGACAAAAGTTAAACTGGTCAGAATAAAACTTGTATAAGAACACACATTCAGCAACAAAGTCAAGCACTTAATTCAAGGAAAGGATATTTAACTCAGGCATACGAGCTGTACATCTTAAGTCCATTTGTTGATGAGCAGAGAGTACTTCAGGAGTACTTATTTTTAATTCTGTCTTTTCATTGAATGATGCATTTTCATGATCGGAGGAAGTTAACTTGCTTTAAGACAAAAAAAATCTAGGATGCAATGTAAGACGACATTGTTCTATGAGCCTGCCATACTGTAGAAGCTATTTTTCGTATTGACATTAGTGACAAGCTAAAATATGTGTGTTTTGATTCCCATCTGTCTACCATCTGTATCTTCCAAGGTCTGGACGTCAACAGGCCAACTACCGGGAAAAACCTGATAAGGGCATGACGTCCAATACTTTCCTATCTCATAATACGTACACTGCTTATCAACTATCAATCTAATAAAAATCGACTGCTTGAAGAATGGGGTGTGAGATTCTATGTGTGGCTTTCTCTGGCCACACAGTCTCTCCCTCTTCTGCAGTTGAGAAAAACTTATCCTCTGTGTCAAGCCTTTTTATTCTGATGCCTCTTCCTGGGTCTATTGATTAATAACTAAACTCTTGATAGTGAGGAACTAGGAGTCGTATTTAGACCCAACACATACTAAATACAGATCAACTTTGAATTCAGAAGGTGATAAATGTAGACAAAAGACATGAAACCACAGACATTGTGAGAAAAGGAAAATGTACTTAGAAAACTTCCTTCAAGCAGAGGAAATAACAATTGTCTTTGTTGTTACTAAGAGGCAGTGTCCCTTGAAGTGCTTTTCTCTGGGAGCGCTAATGTTGCCAGGCATCTGCAATGCATGCGGTTTAGTTTTGTCAGCATAGTTAGGAGGTAATGATGAAAGAGGGCCCGCTGCTTGAAAGCCTGCAGCTTCTCAGATTAGCTGTGTGGTCCTCTGTGCTATGACATGGACTGTTAGGCCCTCAAAGATTCTGTTGAACCAAGAATGTGTCACACTGAGATTTGAGTAGTCTTTGTGAGAATTGTGTGTGCAATTAACATGTTTTTGTCTGTGAACAGTTTATGAATTAAAACATCTAACAGTCTTTTATTAAGTGTTGATAAAAGGTTTTTTTAAACAGAGCATAGTCGTCTGATTGTTGAGGTCATTGTGGATTGTTTTGCACTCTAGTCTTGCTATCTTCATTGACCTCAAACTATTCCTTTAAACAGACAAATTCCTATGTTTTCAGTACCACACAAGAAATTAACGATGGATAGACTACCCGTATTTTGCTCATCAATTAATAGCAGTGTTTAAATTACTTTCTGTCTCCAATTACATAGCAGGTTCAAAAATACACCAGAGAGCAAGAATGTCTTCACTAATGAAAGGAAGCGCTCTCTGCTCTTCTTACCTTCATCAATCTGTTTTTTTTCATGTAGCTGCTCTGCCTGACACCCTTTGTGTAGATTCAGCTGTTGAGTATGTTTATTTAGTGAGGTAGAGGGACATCCATAACCATAAAGCTGTCTCCAAACACATTTCAATCACCTCCTTTCTCTTCACACTGTCTCTTCTAACATTCTCTGTCTCTTTCAGAGAAAGTGACACAGTCAAAAATTCTGCATTAACTCAACTTTTACTGGACTATAAAGACAAGAATGCTTGTCCTCAGAGTTTCTTACTATAGGCAAATGGACAAAGGTTACGCTCAGGGTATGCTTATGGCCCCTCTAGCGTTCTATCGTATTTGTGAATTCTCCACTAGTTTCAGTTGTGTACACACAGGGAACCTGTAGCAGAGCGAGGAAAAACAGACCCCTTCATCCCGTCACTCTCACCTGGGAGAAGTTGAGTCCGTTGAGGGGGTGGCACTGCTCCTCTACGTGCTCCACAGACCCGGTTGTTTTTCCCATTCTCTCTGCTTCTTGAGCCAAAAACAGGTCCAGCACCGGCGTCCCTCGGGACCGAACATCCCATTCCGTCAGCGAGTTGACCATCAGCATCACCCACACGGGTCTCTTCCGCTCCCAGTTCCCGGCGATAGCGTTGAAGAGATAGTCGGCGTACAGGCCGCGGTCCCGCTGGTCAGCGGTCATCCAGTGAGGCATCATGTGTTTGACATAGTCCAGGTGGCGTTTGAGGCGGCGGTACAGGTCTCTCGGCAGCAGCGTCTGCAGCTTCTCTCCGTGGGGAAGTAACTGACAGCTGGTCAACTTGGAGATAGTCAGTGGGTCCGTCAGGTCAAGCTCAAAGAAAACACTGTTGCTGTTGTGGAAGGCCTGTTTGGAATTTGTGGGGATGAAGTCCCAGACTCGGGTGTAGGGTACATGGATTGTGCCAAATAAATAGGATGGAGGGTGAGGAGGTGCACGCTTTACTGTCCACAGGAAAGAGTTTAATTCTCTTTGCTGTAAAAAAAAAGAAGAAACAAAAATACCAGTCGTCAAACGCAAGCAGTTCAACACGTTTTGCCTCAGTTGCGATTTTCCTGCTCATAGTCTTAGGTCAACAAGTTAAAGACTGGAACACCATTTTAAGATGATGGCATGGGAACGATAAAGTCTGGTCAGCCCGAGGCCGTGCTTCAGGCGGTTTATAGAGCAGCCTGCTGGGCTGTAAACAGACCTCCGTGTTCTGTCGAGGTGCATACCTCAGTTGCCAAAGCCTCTTTCGGCTTGGGAAGCATTTCCAAGGCATTAGTGCAAATATACTGCTCTGGAGCTCATAAAAGTGTAAACCTGAAAGAAACCTGCTTTTCATTCTGACCTCACTATGATATTTTACTTAGTGTTTTCTTTTTTCTTTTTATTCTTCTTTTTCTTTGTGCACAATGCAGGAAGATGTGATGTTACCAGCTTTAGTTCCACAACCTTTTAACCAATTAAATGGTGCTTCCCTGGATGCCTTGATTACAAAAGACATCAAGGACGGCCTCAACAGAAAAAAAGAGTGCTACAGGAACCGAGACGGGCTGAGGCGGGCACAAAAGGAACTAGAGGGTCCGTCTGTAGGAGGCCAAGGGTTCTACAGCAGAAAGATGGATCAGAAACCTCAATGATACAATTAAAGAGAGGTCTGTGAGGATGGAGACTACAGGCTGCAAGAAGAGCTGCAGCACTGCAGAACGGGACAGAAAGAGAGCAGAGCAGATAAACCATTCTTTCAACTGGTTTGATTGCAATGTTAATCTGATTCCAAACCAGCCTGCAACTTCCTCAACACCCATCTCCAACAGTCAGGAGGTGGGTGGAAGGGGAAAGCAGCAGCCCCTGGTCGAGGACTTTGTGAGATGATGCAGGTCCAGTGGGGGACAAAGTACTCTGTGTCATTGCTTGAGTAAAAGTACAGATCCTACTGGTCCTTACTCCAGTAAATGTAGCTGTGTCAAATTAATACAGTTATTATTGAGTTAAAGTACCTCAGTATCGGCTTTAAAAAATACTCAAGGATGTAAAGTACTTTAAAATCTTTTTTTAAAGTTTTCTAACAGTTCTTTTTAATTGAGAATTGAAGTTGAGAATAGATGGGATTTCTTTCTGATACATTGAACAGGGCAGCAAATCCAAATGTATGATTATAACAACTGCAATAATAAAGCATAAGCCTTTTCCAGACACTCAAAGACGCTTTACAATTTAATGCATTATTCATCCACTCCTCAGTTATTTGGTGTGGAAGCATGATTCTGCTCCTGAAACGGTAAAGTCACACGAACACTGTCTTACACGGGCAGGTTGGGTTACGTGCCTTGCCCAAGGACACAACGGCTGTATGTGCTGGGGCGGGCATTCAAACCCGCCACCTTCTGGATGCAGGATCCTACAGGGGAGGTGTCGCAGTTTAAATAAACAAAATACATTTAAATAAACAAAATACATTTAAATAAATGCTTTCAGCAGAAGACTAAGAAAAGCGGGAGGGATTTGGAGTTGCAATTTTACACTTACAGTTTACACCAGAACAACTTGAGACTAAACTAAAATTATGCCATTGGGAGTCTAATCCAGAATTCATTTTGGCATGTCTGAGGGACTAAAAAAATGCAAACTACAATAACAAACACGATCAACAGAAATAAAGAGTAGCAAAAGCCTTTGGATTAATTTAGTGGAGTAGAAAGTATGCTTTTATCGTTAAAACGTATCGGAGTGAAATTAATAACTTTTCCAAAAAAATGCTATGCGAGTAAAGACATTTTAAAACTCTGCTAGGGTACAATACTCAAGTAAATTTACTTTGTTACTGCCCATCTTTGTGCAGGTCTAACCATCTGCAACTGAACACCTTTCAAGAATAAGGAGATGGTGGAAGAGACCTCATTTCTAGCCCATTTCCATCGATGGCTCTCACATGGAGGTGGTCAGGAAATATATACACCTGGGACTGCAGCTGGATGACAAACTGGACTGTCAACACAGACAGCATCCACTATAAATTACAGTCATCTTTTGATTTCAGAGGAGGTTTAGGTCCTTCCACATCTGAAACAATGACTGCACTAGACATGACAAATCTGTTGTGTCTAGTGTTCTCTTTTATGCTTTAGTTAGTTGGGGGACGATCTATCTATCTATCTATCTA